TTAGTTTTCTGAATTTTTGATGTATCTAGGACAGGAATAAGTCACGTGGAGTATTTTATTATTTAGAAATCTCCCATTGACATCCTTCAATCAGCATGTTGCTATAGATACATAAGAATGCAGGAATAACAGACGCTGTTCATGAAAGTTTAACTACAAATCTTTTTAAAATTCAGGAAGAATACAGAAACGAAAACAAGAATCTCTTCCATTTATATTTTTTTCTCAAATTATCATCCCCACGGTCAAGGACAGGTTTACAAAATCCATACCGTATGTCATTAAATATTCATCATGTTTATAAAAGCTTTCAAAGTTTTCTTCTGTCTGTTTTCTTTTTGAAGAACCAGCTACAAACTGAAGTGTAAATAGAAATTATCAAAATTTCCATTTAATCTCATTTCACTAGTGAAATAAATTAAATTAATTAAATGTTTGAAATACTCAACATCACTTTCAAAAATGATACTAAGGATATGGATAGAAAAATAAATTATGAATCACAAGAGAAATGATATCAGAATATAATACAATAATAATATAAATTCAGATCACAATGAAGATGAAGGAAAACGTATCATAAGTATATAAATAATTCAATAGATAAGAGTGCTTCATTATGTGCTAAAGTCAGAACATGATAAAGCATTCTTATTAAGCCATTGATAAATAAATAGAACAAAATAAAATAAGGAATATTTTTTTTGTCTTTTTTTTACGTATATCCTCTAAAAATTCTAATAATTTATATTCTATATAATAGACTTTTTCTTAAAAATTAAGTCAAATAAGTCCTTCAATTCGGTGCGACAGAATTTATTCATTCTCTTTTGATAATCAAAGAGAATCTCATTTCGTGTCCACCTCAAAGAGAGAGCTTTCTTTTTGCAGATCCTCATTGAATTTTTATTTTTCCCATTTTATTTACACGTGCTCGGGAGTTTTTTTTTCTCATTAAAATAATTCTTTATGTCTAGGGGTCTGGGGAATTGAATTTTTATTGAGATTGGATGACATAAAAGAGATCTAAGAGCTTTTGGGAGTTTGTGGTAAAAGCTGTTTTGGACATTTTTTGATAAACATGATCAAATGATATAAAAGGATACGTTTGATTATTGCTGTGTCCATTAAATATTCATTTTCCATATTTTATGATGATGATTGGATTGATATATAGTATTACTCTCGGATTTGTGTGGGTTGGAAGCTTCTAAACTGGAAATGCTTTAGAAAATTTAATCAGAAAGCGTTTAACTTTCTTGGTTACATTAAAGATTGTATTCTAATTAATATTCTTAAGAAAATCTGAAAAATCGAGATTGTAGTCGACATTAGGGTCTAAAGCTAGTAAAACCTCTTACTGTTGATTCAATGAAGTCTTATTTAAACTTTAAAATATGATTTCGTTTGAAATTTCATGAATTTAAGCTTGAGATCTCGAGTACATCGTTAATAATTCAATATCTATGTTTTATGCACTAAAACACTGTGTCAAAGTCACTTTCTTAATAAGAAGATCCAGAACACATCCTCAAGAAAACGCAAACCCTCATCATAAAGATCCAATCATCAAACCTGTCGATAAAAAGTCTACGGCGATAAGAACTGTTGCTAGCAATTCATCAAAGTTTTAACAACAACTTGTGAATATTTTTTTGACAAAAACTACTTAAACACGAAACTTATAAGTCAATCAATCTCAATAAATTTCAGTTCCTCATCTAAGGGTTTCATCATTATTAAAAATTTAATATTACTATAGAAATATTTTTTTTTATTTTTTGGATTTTTTTTCGCTTACGATTTCAAAGAATTTTACGTGTCACATGACACGGAATATCATCGACAAGAATAAACACAACATTTTTCAATCATCATTATTATTTTTTTGGGTTTTTCGTTTGAACGTCTATAAATCACAAGAAAATAGTTTTTCAACTTTAAAATTTTTTCACAATCTTGGCTTTTTCTTCATTTTAATTTAAACAAAAGAAAAAAAAATTTTGACATTTTTCCTTCGTCAAATTTGAAATGAAAGAAATTCCAAAAATACTTTAAATGTCCTTTCACTTTTTCTGTTTGTGTGCATGCCTTACTTTTAACCTTTCACATTTCAATTACTTTCCATTTCTATTAAGCTATGTCCATTCCTTCTTTTCTGTTTCTTATTAAGTCCATAAATAATGGAGAATTCTCTTCAGCATCTTTGTCATACATAAAAAATTTATTTTCGTCTGTTTTTTGGCCTCAAAGGGAAGAGAAAACAAGACCCTTTTTCACATTTTTATATCCACAAAAAAAAAATAAGAAATAATTTTCTCTCAAGCTAGTGTGCCTGAGGGTAGCAACAATAAAAATGTTCACTCCATCATTTGTGTATATATGGCACATATCATATGTAAATTTCTTCACTTCATACGAACACAATTTCTCGAATTTAAACTGTGAAAAAGAAGCTTATTTCGTCTCTTTTATCTCTCTGTGATTCAATGATGTTACTGCTGCAGATTCATCGTATTAATAAAGAAAATTTTTATTGACATCATTTGAATTTATTGTGTATCATAAAGAAGGATTTTTTTAATGAAAAACGCATAAATCCTTTCCATTATTCATGTTTTGCATTGCTCACTTTCATGACGGATGGAAATTTCTCTAAATTGAGTAGCTTGGAATGAATTTTTAAAATTTCATTCTGAATTATTGACCTTAGGAGATGTAAGGTGTCTTCTTTATTACTTTAATCAGTTTTGCATGTAAATTAGGATACTTTGAATTTGGTAGCGCTAAATTGAATTTTCACTGGATGGTCTACCTTTCAAATTCATTACTCAGACTTAATTTATTATTACACGCTTTTTATTGAGTTGCTCTGTTGGTTTCTTTGTATGTCACGTTCAAATCTTGCAATCGATTTTTCGACCACTTCTGTTGCTCCAATCGAGCTCAAATTTTGTATACACACGTTTTCCCGGTGACAATACAATATTTTAACACTTTAGAACCACACAAATGCTTAATTATAGTACAATTTTAATAAAACTTTTTTATATGGGAAAAAAATCCAATGTCAATGATATAAAATTTTGATTTGTTTAAAATATTATACTTGAAATGCTCAAAAGTCATTTATATGATTCACTATAGTTTAATTAATATTACTTTTTATTAATAATACTAATAATTGGAGAAGCTGAAGATTTTCTGGGAGGATGAAAAAATTGACAAGTAATTTTTTCATGAATATCCGTAAGTGAAAATTTGAATTTTCAAAAAAACCGTTAATCACAAGTCCGTTACGAATTAATACAAAATAACTATTAATATGCGATGTGCATTTAGCACGCATAACTTGAGCATAAACGTATGCTGTTTTAAATGCATTACAATATTTATAGCACTTTACCAATTTAATTAAATTGACTTCTATTTATTATCGGCTTAACGTAATTTTGCATAACATATGAATGACATTAATTGAATTTAAATTTGAAAAATCCGTTATAAATACGTTACATATAGATGTGATTTGCATCTTTATGTTAAGAATCCACACGTTATGTAATAGGAATGGTACGGATAAACACAAAATCTTTACGATTGATTTTTAATGTTCTTTACTCATGAATGTTTTAAAAAACGCAGAAAACGCACATAATTGAAGTTCAGGACATTTTTTAGAAGAGTTTTATGTGTTTCCAGGTATGACTTAAATTATAAAAACGAATGAAAAATCCTGACAGTCGTTACTAATTACCCATTAAAAAATGGGAATATATTAAAAGTTGAACGAAACGAAGTGGAGTTGAATTTGAATTGTTGTGGTCGATATTCGATTAAAAGATTGAGACTAAAAAGTAGCAAATAAAAAAACGTTAAAAAAACTTTTTAAAAAACACGCTTTTTTCCCGAAGACTAAAAAACAAATAACATTTTTTTCTTGAAGTTAAGTCTGTTGTTGAGAATAAAAACGAAGCGACCAAAAAAGGAGCAAATAAAAAAATGTTAAAAAAAACTTTTTAAAAAACACGCTCTTATCAAAAAGACTAAAAATCAAAAAGTTCAAAATAAAATAAGGTCACACTTTTAGCGAATCAGGATTTTAAAAATTTTCTTGTGACAACTAGAAATGTAACATAAATTTTTTTCAAAATATTGTGATTAAGTCCAAGAACACAATGACTCGAAAAGCCTGGGGCTTTGAGATTTGACGCTTCTCTTACTTAAGAACTTAGTTGAACTAAGAAATGCATCCTTAAATTACGCCCCACGCTTATAGAGTCATTGTGTTCTTGGACTTAATCACAATATTTTGAAAAAAAATTTATGTTACATTTCTAGTTATCACAAGAAAATTTTTAAAATCCTGATTCGCTAAAAGTGTGACCTTATTTTATTTTGAACTTTTTGATTTTTAGTCTTTTTGATAAGAGCGTGTTTTTTAAAAAGTTTTTTACTTTAAAATTAAATCCGGGTTAATTTTGATGTTTGTCAACATTATCCACAGAAATCTCTTTAAATCATCTCTAATTTTGCTTAAAAAACATCTCCAATTTTCAACGAGCACACCTTCTAGTCCTCAAAAACATTATTTCTCCCCCCATAAATCCAATAATTTATGCCTGTATCGATTTTATAAGATTATTTCTTATACAGAATGTTTTTTGAAGTACTAAAACTTGCTTCTTTAGAATATGATCTATAAAATTATGGACCATAAAATTTTGTTATTCTAACAGATTTTTTAAGATCTTCATCCTCTCAATATTGCAAAAGTGTTTTTCAATAATAATCTTCATTATTCAGGCATATAAGAGGCAATTTGAGAGGTTATTATCAAGATAGCATAATTCCCGACATACTCTCTTTGAATTCGATTCTATGTGCTTTTATGAGGCATCAATGGAATTAGAATTTCAACATTTTTGATGCAAATTTGAGCATTTAATTGCAATTTGCCTCTAAATTTGAAGACAATTTTGTAATTTAATATGCAATTAATGAATCAATTTGCTTTAAATTCATTAAGGTTCTCAAAATTGCATCTCCCTTTGGATATCATTAGCAATCCACAACATTCATAATTAATATCAATTTCATGTCAAAATGCAACACAAAACCTTCAATAAGTAGACTTATGCGTTTTTCATCATAAACTTTGTAGCCTTCTTCATAACCCTCATTCTCCCTTTGAACTGCCTTTTTCATAAAGTCATAATCATCTGCACACACACAAAATGTCAACACGTTCTTTCTTTCTTCTTCTTCTTCCTTGACTCTCATAAAAAATCTTATTAAACAATCGTCGTCAATTCCTGAAGTGTTTGATGTTGGTATAAATTTGTTTGATTTGCTCCGGCAATCATGTGAACAACAACATGTGGATGTTTTCGTCAAGCAGAGCCATATTGTAAATTTCCATTCGATTGACTCAAATGGTTATTATTTATGCTATTCAAATTATTCATAGCCGTCGTTGGTGAAACTATATTAACGTTCGTTGAACTTTTATTATTATTGAGATTATTAGAGTTGTGTGAGTTAGTAATGCTCAAATTATTCATATTATTACTCAATATATTGTTGGTTATATGTGAACTTGGACTAATAAGATGATTGTTATTTAATTGATTCTCTATTGGTGAACTCATGCCGCATCCTTTAAGTTCGGTAAATATTTCAGTAAAATAACCAGGCTCGGCATTAATACGAAGCATGTTCGTACTCATTTTATTGACAATAAGAAGACAGCTAAAAATAGATGAATAAAATGTAAAATTAATGGATGAACTATAATTAATGATGTGAGTTTATGGTAACAATAATTAAGATTCTTCCTTCTTTTTATGTATGCTACATTTGATGTTATGTTACATTTTTTTGGGATAATAGTTAAGAAACCTTTTCCTTTCAATCTTTTTATAGCACAAGGTGGCATTATGTAAACATAATAAAATCCTTTTTCCTTATTTTATAGAAAGCACTAAATAGAAGACATTTCCTATTCACATAATACCAAAAGAAGAAGAGATCCTTTTTAATAAAATTTTAAAGCAACAACATCCTTACCGATCCCAAAATTTATCTTTTGATTCTTCAACCAGGAATGGCTTCAATGGATAACTAATTTCATTTCCCATGTATGAATATGATAAGTATAGACATGTCAGCACTTTTGCCTGTAAATCCAATTCCTCGATCTCCCTTCCATCGACCATCTCACGTACCAGCATATAAACAAATACAACGTTGGCTGGATTGATAAATGCGACATCCTAGAATGAAATATTAAAATAGAATTACAGGTTAGAATTTTTGAGGTTTGAGCATGATTAAAAATTGAATTTTATGACGCATGAAATTTGTGTTTTTGTGGCTTAAATTTTGAATGATTTTGGAAGTTTATAGGTTGGTGGTATTGATTTCTACAATTAAGGAGGATCCGAAAAATTCAAGTTTCTAGTCTATGTAAGACTATCGTTGACAAACCCCTCTTTATTATATATAGACAACTTTATTTGAAGCAGTAAAAATTAAGAAATTGTTAGCCACCACCAAAGCGTGTCAGTCATCATCAAAACACTCATAAAAAGTGCACAAAGAATAACATTTTAATTGCCATTTAATGAGTTTTGTCATAAATTTTGCGTAGAAACAATCATAAACGAATGAAATGAAACCCGTAAATTGAAATTTTCCAAAAAGTACTGAAAACAATGGCGATGGAAAATGAATGATAAATTAAGAGAGCTTTAGAAAATAAATATATATAAAATAAATGTGAATAAAAGTAATTTATGATGCTGACACTCTCTCTTTCTATATAAAGTACGTATCATCTTGCTTTTTCACAACAATGAGGGGATAAATGAATTCATTTAAATCATAATTGAATGAATATAGTACGAAATATTTTTATATTCACAAACAAAAGTAAATATTGTCTTCATTTTGTGTATTAAAGCAAGAATAATGACAGAACGCGAATGTTTTTAAGGCCGCTGTAATCACATGGAATTAGTCGTCATAAATATCTTTATTCTACCAAAAATAGGAATCTAATACCATTGCTTTTTGAGTGCGGAATTATATCTCTGTATTGTATTTCAGGCATTTAATGTGGACACATTTTTATGGATAAGTTTAGAAATGTTTTTATTATTTTGTACCCAAAAAGATTTAATGCTTGAACAGAGAGATGGACGATCCGGAAATTTTCTCAGAGGATTTTAAGCACAGATGAAACTTGTTTTGGGTGAAATGGAAAAAAAAAACTTGAGGAATTTACATATTTATAGAAAAATATTCTTAGTTGCAGAAAATGAAAATAGTTATAATTAAATTTTTAATTTATGCATATCTATTTTATGGACTTATGGTGTCAGATTGTTTTGGAGTTGTTTCAAAAAAGGGAAATTTAAATAGTTTTGTTTACGACAAATTTGAAATTAAATTAAGAAGAAGTAATTTGTTTCTTTCAAAAAGAGAAAGTGTAATCTCTACAGCTCGAAAGAAGAATCAACAAAGTTTGGGTTCGTAAAGCTTTAGTTGAAGTTTTTATCAACATTTTTGGATGAAAAGTATTTTTATGAGAATTATTTTGACAATATTAATGGATTGATGTGCTTTAAAAAGTTTGAGATATGTTGTTTTGACATTTAGGTTAAGTTTTTGGCATCTTTAGTGATAGTTACATGAATAACGAATTTTTCAGATAATCTTATGATTTTCCGGAAAACCTTTAAATTAAATTTGGCACAGATTTACTTAAAATTGCTTTGCAATTCTTAATTTTACTGATTTAAACATTTTGTGCCAAAATTTTGTTTAAATACAAAGTATAGTCCAGAATAAGCAAGCACAGTCATGTTCATTATAGTTAAATGTTAAAAGAATCGTTCAAGAATTTAAAATATTTAAATTACTAAGGTCAATTACAATGAAAATCGTTAAAACCTCATCTGACATGGTTTCGCATTCGTTTGCATTTATTTTTGTCAAGAAACCTCATTAGAAATTCAAAATTCTTCTTCTAAGTGACTCATTGATCAATAAAAAATGCTTTATAAAAACACAATGGAATATTTAATTCAATATATTTTACATAAAAATGAAGACATAATATTCAACTTCGACAATGTCAAACTGTAGAATTAGAAAAGCTCGATGTTAAAATCGATTATTTTGAGTAGGAAAGATTTTCAAGCCTAACAATAATAATTCAAAAGCTTATTTATACGGGAAATAAATTCACATGACGAATAGAGAAATGAAAGAATTATATCGAAAATCGATGAGGACATGAAATCGAAATTGAAACAAAAACGCTCGTTCGTTGATACCTGACGTAAATCCATTCATGAATGGGCTGATTACAATAGAAGACATGCTATTTACGTCATTCATTGCATGATTCTAAGCCTTAATTTCAACTAAGCAATTTTACTCACTGACAACGACGAGTAAATTGTAATTTGATGAAACGAGCTTTTTTCTATTTAAGGACGTATACTGTACACGTGGAAGCTTTAAATACCACAGATTTTTCTATCTATCCTAAAATTAATCTTACATCCATTCAGCAAGATTAAAGGTAGCAAAAAAAAGGATGAAATATCAGAAAAAGCTATCAGGGCATTATTTCTTGAGCTATACATGAATGATGGAAGGTAATCAGTTAAAAATAAATCATCAATACGAGGGATGTAGGAAGAACAAATTCAATTTATTCAATTTATGACATAAAAATATAATTCCCAGAAATGCAATCCGAAAGACAAAAGGAGAAAGTAAAAGTTTGCTAGAAGGATACTATCAATCACGACAATTTCTTTTCCTTTTTGAGTTCAATCTACTTTGCGTGATTTTCTCTACTTCCACATCCATCACTTTCCATTTCTGAAATATTCATTGCAATGAATGAATGAATGGAAAGAAAATCGTATCAATTTGCTATAATTATGATTGATAATAGACATTTCTTTTATTTCGAAATTGAATGAGAAGAAAAAGAAACAAAAACTAATAAAGATAATGGAATAAAATAAGAAACAAATGAAAGAATGATAAAGAAGATAAGTAGGTAATGAAGATATCGTAAACGGCTGATCAAAAAACGTTTGTAATTTTTTTTTTGGATTAATTTGTGGGTAGAATTATGAATTCGGGAAGTTGGCTTTTTCTCCTATTCTACAACTCAATTTCAAACTTGGATCTCGAAGGCAAGCTTTTCTTGTATGCTGATGATAGCGTTCTAATAAATATCCACAATAACAGTGACAACATTAATGACAGGATCTGCAAAGATATGAAAATTATTATCAATTATTTGAACGAAAAGAAATTGATCCTGAATGCTGATAAAACCCACTTTATGGTAATCCAGCAAACAGGCACCAAACCAGACGATACAGAGACTATAAAAATTGAGTCAAAAGATGATGATAGCATGAAAATCATAGGAAGTTACTGTATAAAGAGAGTGAGAGAAATGAAGTATTTGGGATTAATTGTTGACGAAAACCTAAAATGGGATGCACATATCCGATCTGTTCAGAAGAAAATATCAAATGCAACCGCAATTCTATGGAAAATGAGAAACAGTCTTCCAGAGGACACAAAAAAGTTGATCTATAAATCACTAATTGAGTCCCACTTGAACTACTTAATTACCATATGGGGAAGTGCACCAGATACAGCGATTAAATCATTACAAGTGACACAAAACCGAGCACTGCGTAATGTCTTTAAACTGGATAGACTTCTGAACAGAACTGAAATGTACTGCGAGAAAGTTGAGAACAACCTGCCGATTAGAGGATTATTTTTTGCGAATACTGCTAGCTATATATATAAAGTCACTAAAGGACTTGTATACTCGAATCTACAATTTGAAAAAGCTAGAACGGCAAGTCGCAATAAGAGTTATCTGAAACCAGCTGCTACAAGAACTGTCAAGGCAAAGAAAGCAATAACAGCAGTCGGTCCAAGAATCTTCAACAGCCTACCAGATGAAATTAAAGCAAGCTATCACTTTCCAGGATTCAAATATGCTATCAGGTCACATCTCCAACAAGAAAACATGATGAAGCTGTGCTTTAATGGTGAAATTTTATGTAAATACATATAAATAAGCTGAAATGAGAATTAAAGTTTTAGTCAAAACATCTGGTGTAAAAAAGCGGAACTTGTACAAATCTAGAACTACTTATCCTGACTGAAGAGTATCATCCTAATGTCCATCAAACAAAAGAAAACTTTTTTCTCCAATTATGTGCTCGATAAACGCTAATTTACTTAACTTTCACTAAAAATGATAATTTTCCACTGTGATATTTACAAACAGACTGAGATGACAGATTCTTAATATTCAAATACCGAGAGGATGTAATGAAAGCGGTTATTCTCTATGTAGAACTATTAGATCAATTATTTTTTTCAAACCTAGAGTAACTGTTACTAATTAGAGCTTTTTTTTATAATTGTTTTGATAAGAGATTTCTTAAAGGCAACTTGTTGCACTGAAACTCTTCTTACTTAAGCTGTTGCAAGAGAATATGTATAATTAACTTAAAGTTCTCATTGTATATGACATATTTATGTATATTTCTCCGTTGCTCGAAAAAGGTTTTTTATGCCTTCTTAAATAATTTAAGTAATATTTAAGGGGGCTTTTTCCTTTTGTAAGAGTGAAAGCAAACATAATAATAAATAATAATAATAATAATAATAATAAACCAAGCAGGAAGTCTCTAAAAAAAAAAAAAAAAAATTAATTATTTTTGATTGATTGATTGGATATCCATCAAAAATATACAATTTATTTTAATGTTAAACATGAATTATTACATATTTTCACTTTTAACGAATTTTCTAAATTTGAATTTTCTTATCAAAATCCGTCCCACCTCAAAAAGTTTTTCGCGATTGAAAATCATTTAAACATCTGTTCTTAAGAATTTATCCAAACATAAACCTTCAAAAAAGTAGCAAGAATCAATCTCAATATGCGACAAATCGTTTTGATGTCTAACAATAGGTTTATTGAAACTTTATCCTATAGCTTAGCTAAGATAATGCAAAAAGTGACAACATTATCTCTGTAAACACAACAAGCACTAAAAAAATGTGCTAAAAAGGAAATCAAGAGAGGAAAGAAATTCATTCGTGGCACGAGAGAAGGATATGATAGATAAAGGAAGAAAACTTTGATTTAAGCAATGATAACGAAAGTTGAATTGCAAAGACGAAAAAATAAAGTGAAGACAAAAAAAGGGAGACTGAAGATAAATTTATTTATTTTTTTTTCTGTCGTATCCAGCCAAACCCCCTCATTTTTCTCAACTCAGTGTTCATTATTGTTATTGCCTCGAGATAGATAAGGAAATTATCTTTAGAAAATTGAGATTGTGCTACTTTTCCTTTCATTCAATCTCAATCTACAGTATATGATGAGTAAATAGACATTTCGTTTCAAGGATGCATGTGGAAATGATGTGATAATCACTTTTGAATTGTTTATCGGCTCCATAATTTTGCCTTGAGGGAGTGAAATCAGGCAAGCGGATAAATATGTATGTGGATGTAAGATCTTTATCTTATTACATATACAAGAGTAATAATGCACGTTGACATGGGTAAATGTGAACTGATTCTTATTATAGCTTGTCATATTGCTGGCTGCTGTGAGATTACATGACAGATTTTTGGAGATTAAAATGGTAGACAATTTTTCTTCATGATTCATGCTTCGTTCATAAAAAAAAATTAATATTTTATTTAAATTCCAACCTAAGCGAATGAATTTTTTTTCGTTCTTGTCTGTTGGAAGGAGAACAAGACGACAAAAATTCTCTCCCTGTCATTCATTTACTTCTATCATTGTTTATTTTATCCCAATTATGGCACTTCCTCTACACCCATCTTTTCCTTTTCGTTTTTTAATAATGAGGCTGAAGCATAGCAAAAATGTTCATCTCCTCCGTACTTTTTTTTCTGTTGTTTAAAAAAATTTTCATTAAGCTGCCATCAAAATCACGCAATTACACTTGAATATAAGATGAACAAACTTTTCATTGTCTCATGAAGGAGAGAGTAACGGCACATAGCAAAGAAAAAAAATGTAAAAAGAAGGAAAATAAAATTTAAAAACTTTTACTTTTTTGCTTTTCTTAGCAATTACAAGAATTTTCTTTTCTTCTCATCCTCACTTTCTTGTTTTCTTATCAAACATGTTTTCTTTGTTTGTTCATGAGTCACGGTACGGAAAATGATGAGTGCGAACGGAAAGGAGACAAGAAAAATTTGAGAGATTTTGTGAAGGAAAAAAGTGCTGTGTATGTAAAGTAGGTTCAATGATATCTATTTATAAAATATATCTTCAGGGAATGCGATAAATTTAGGTACGTGTAAGGATGTCACTTATGATAATGAAATTGTCAAGTGTCTTATTAAGAATATGAAAAAAGAAATGTCATAGAAATTCTAGTAAACCTTTAATGGGAGTTTAAAAATATTTTTAAGTAATAAATCTTTAAAGACTAGACAATGATGTTCCTACCACAGACTACTAAAGACTACTAGAGTAAGTAAATTACATTAGTAGCTGGCCAAGCTTTCAAGGTATGGCTACAGCTGCTTTACATAGATTTAATACAATAAATGAATTTGAACCTATTTTGTGGCAAGTTAAATTGAAATTAATATTAAAGGTCAAGAACTCCAACTTGTGAACTCACTCCAAACCATCCCTTACAAAAGTAATCTCTGAGTTTATCTAATAAAAGTTATAAATAAAGCAGATGTATTTTTAACATGAAATAAATTTGACACTTCAGTAGCTACAAAATCTCCAATTTATCGACCTTCTCAGAAGGAACAAAAGCTGACACGTTGTAGCCTTTGAAAGTCTAATGAAAATGAAGATTTTATTTTATTTTACTTTAGAAAGTTTTTATTGAAAGCTCAACTTTAGAGAAAGGTGAAAAAAGCTTTTAAAATATTAAAATTGAAAATTAAAATTCGGAAGTGTTTTAGAGGATGTTTGGTAAATTTAAGCTAAAGCCTAGGTTTATAAAGACAAAAAATATCCACAAGTACACTTAGAGTGCAAATTATTCTTTAAGATATCTGTCAATTTTAAAAACAATTCAGCATGAGTCTAACAAATTATCAAAACATCCATAAAGGTTCAGCATCATAAAAGGCTCAACTGTATAAATATAAAAAATGACGGTCAAATTTCAGACTCATATCCATGTGAACAAAACAAAATAATGTAAGTATAATCTTCCTATTGAATTTTTGATGAACTACGGCACTCAAGACAGCATTTTAAAAGAAAACACACTCATGACATTATGTATTTACTTTCGAGTAAGTAGACTTTTCCACTTCAACACTTTACAGTTTCTAAATTGATATCCATACCCTGAATCTCTTGGTAATCTTCTCTCTTAGCACCATAAGTAATTCTTTTTAACAAGAATTGTTGGCATAACTTTCAAAGTAAAAGGAATTTTTTCGGATAAAACTCTGTAATTTAATTTATATCGATCTATATGTCTCGCATATATGCTCTTCCTTTGTTGCCACTTGCGCATAAAGTTTTCGTTTTTGTAACACAAAATAAACTTTTACGTTTCGTTTAAAAATACAGAAATAAAGTGAATTCAACATTGTGTGTAAGGAGATGAATGTAAAGGATAAAATTTTATGTAATACGTCAAAAAAATATAAAGCCAAGAATAAAATACACATTTACCTGCCAACCCTGTAATAATAAACTTCGATCAACAGCTCGAAGCCACATGACGGCATCGCCAGCCTGAAAGTCGCGCAATTTACAGCAACGATCTCGTAAAAAGATTCCCAGACATTTGAGAAGTTCACTGGTTGAGGCCTGAAATGAGAAAAGATAAAAATAAGTCAATATATACGATATAATGTAAGCGAGAGGTTTAATTAATATAAATAATTTACGCATTAAGCCATTGGGCTGCTTGGTTGGTTTAAAATAAAGGCACGGCAATTGTTTGCATTACAAACACGCGCTCGGCTGTATTTACATCGTATTATTGTGTCCGACAACAACAACAAAAATGAATTTATTCCTCATTCATCAAGCACTATAAATCGCTTTAGGATGATAAGGCGAGGCACAAAGACGGAAGTGTTGGGACAGAATATAATGAAATTATTTAAATTCTGAAAGCTCCGTTCTGTACTCATTTTTCTGAGGGACTCATAACTACTATAAATTACGCTATAATAATTGGAATGAGCTGAATATTGAATATTCTTATTTGTTGATGAAATTAAATGGGTCATCGGACGACAATGCCAATCCTGATTATGTTTTCCCACTGTTATTATTACGCATGATGCCAGTGTAAATAAAAACCTGATTTTATGTTCTCTTTTATCACACAATTATGCTCCTGATACGGTCATTTGGGTAAAAATATTTCTCAGTTTATTATCAATGAATTTTTTAAGAGATGTAATTAAAAGTTATTTACGTTTCCACGTGAGCAATAATCGTAAAATAATTTTCTAGTATAACATGCTTTAAATAAGCTTTCAGTTTTTTTAATGAACGACATTAAAAGTTCCATTATGCATCTCGATTGCATGAGAAGAGAAAATAAGATACACGTTTGGGAATCACAATGACCAATGGATGTTCTAGCGTGTGAGGAAGCCTTGCTAGGTACAGTATATAGTTAATCTTAAATTGGATACTTCATCAATCGTTAAGCATCGTTCTCAGTTAAAGCTTGAACATTTAAAATGAGAAAGGATGAATTAAATGATTTCAAGATATTCTATAATTACCAGACGCTCTAGAGAAGCATAAAACGAAGTAAATTTAAAGATTTTTTATGAAAATTCTTGGACATTTTGTAGAATTCTCACGAGAATCATAATACAGTTCCTCATAGTAACCTAGTGATCCAATAATGCATGACACCTCAATGATCGAATCGTGTATTTCATTCATATGTTATTTTGCCATTCAGATGAATAGCATGTTTGTTGAAAATGTTGATTTCTCTTACTTCATCAGGTAATCAATACGGTACGAATTGAAATGACAGAATTGACAGGCAATTTCCGTATGTGGGATAACTTCATGAAGAATATCAAAAAAAAAAAAATAATAATGATTATTTTGCCACACGCTGAAAGGTTGTTAAAAATTTAGGTTATTGTTGATCCTGGAATTTTTCAGGAGCTAACCAATACTGTCATTACAATGCAACCTAATTCTAAATTGAAAACTTTAAAATGCACTCGAACTGATTCCTAACTTGCTGTAATCTACTTAAAATTTATCTAAATATTCATGAACATGTGCAGTCCTTTTTCTTCAGCAAAACATTTAACATTTACTACATCTGCCGTTGTTGCTACATTGTTATCATTTTTTTCCTTGCATCATTTCGTATTCCTATCTTTTTAACATATGAATCACACTCATATATGTACATAGATTGTTGTCATATGGAAAATTTGCATGTTAATGGGATCGTCTAGGGACTCTAATTGCATTTTCTATATAAATAATGAAACGGCCGCTTGCTACAACACTATCATTTATTGCTGCTTGCGCCACGAGATTTTGTACTTATTATGCGATTAAACATAACGTAATGTGTGTGAATAAATTATTGCGCACATATGAGAACATGCTTACAATTTTAGAAATTTGTCAACTTGCATGACACATTTTTATGCACCCATAAATTTCATTAAATATGTTCATGAGAACGAATAATCTGCATTAGAATATGTGCAAAAAAAGAAGCTATATCAAGATGAAGATTGTCGAGTTAAAAATGGCGTGGAATTAAATTCAAAGTCATTAACCCGTTCTTTACTAGCGTAACATATATGTTACGCCAACTTTTTCGTTAAATTCTCGGCTTCAATTGATTTTACATTGAATCTGATGACTGATTTACATTTATAGCTAAATCAGGAACCTTCCTTAACGTTTCATGTAGCTTAATTTTGTAAATTGGAGAAGTTAATTAAACTTTTCTTTTTCGTGGAAATTTTAGTAATTTTAAAACTTAAAATTTTGACATTTTCTGACACATTTTTGATCAGAACTGGACAGATTTATAAGGAAAATCATTTAAAATTATAGTTAAAAACTTAATAATGAAGGAAAACCATAGTTAAATACATTAACTATGTGACAATAATAAATGTAACATATATGTAACGCTAGGAAAATACGATATAAACTGCCCGTTACATATATGTAACGCTAGTTTTTTGCAAATATTTTAGCGTTTTGAATTTAAAATATAATTTAATTAATTAAACCAATTTGGCTTTGAAGTATGTCAAATTATTTTGTGTATAGCTAAATTATGATAAAAATAAATGATTTAGTGGCAAAAATATTAAAATGAGTGCTTTAAAGAGGATTTTTTGATGCTTGAAAAATTAACATAAAAAAATTAAGAGAAAATTTGAAATTGATTTTTCTAAGATTTAGACTGATTGCGAGTGTTTCATAGTGCATTGATTAATAAAATAGAATGGAAATAACGAGTTGGTGAGGTCCGAACGTTGAAAAATGTCTCATTTTAAAGATATGACATAAAATAAAAGTGTGAATAGATTTGAGTTATTTCAGTTTTCCTATGCATTAGAGTATTTAAATTATACTCTAATTATGTCAAAAAACATAGAATTAATAATAAAGCATTGCATTATTGACATGTGTTAAGGAAAGAGGTAAAATAAAAGAATTAAAATTTTTGGCAGGAAAAAATTTTTGTTTGCAAACTCCTAGCGTAACATATATGTTACGGACAAAATTTGTTAATTCTATTCAATCTGTGCATTAATTTGAGCCAAACTCTTCGTCAAACTTTTTTTTATACTGCAATCCATCAAATAAATACACTCTAATGTCCCAAAAAAATTCCGTAATTAACGGGTTAAATTTGTTCAGTAATTTAAAGTTCGTTCCTCATGCTTGACATACAAATGTTTATAAATAAACTGACTTTATAGTCAGAGCTTAAATCTCGTTAGCGAGGATAAAATATGAAGATTTGAAAGCGGAATTATTCAGTTATGATGATTATTTTGCGGTGAAGGATGCCATCGTGTGGAATTATTTCTGTTTCTTCGTCATCACTGAGGTTTTTGTTTGCGTAATAAACTTAAAAAAATTATATTTTCCATCTTATAAATGGAAATTTTTTCACATCTCACTGATAAAAAGAAACATCGCTTACTCAATGAATTCGATAGACGTTACCGCAACGACAAAATCAGTTTGAGTAAATCATCGTCAAAGAAATTAAATCAAATCGAGAAATAATTCAATAAATTCTTATTCACTGTGAGAATTACCACATGTTGCAAATTACATTAGATAGAAGTTATGATTTATGTCTTCTCATAAATTACAACAATATGCAGTGATGTTGATTAAATAGCTACAAAGAAATTATCTTCTTTTTATCTTTCTTGTGTGCGGTTTTTGGTAAAATGATAAGGTTAACTTTCATGAAACATTTCTGTCGTGCGTTGAGAATTAAGGAGGTTGATGAGGCTTTTTGAGGTAGAAAACTTGAAATTGGAGGAAGAATATTACTGAATTTTGAAGATTTGTTATTGAAAATAGAGCAATAAGAATTCATTTAAATAAAATGGCATGTGCAGTGCATCTAAATGAACATCCTTGTTAGATTCCTGATTCTGTCAGCGCAACAGCACTGTCATGTTCTACATTTTATATTCATTTATTGAAAAGACAACAATCTTTTGAACTGTTGCCAGCTTGGAAAACTATTTCTGTGTGGAATTGTGTTTCTGGAAGTTGAATCGTGATCTAAAGTGATGTTTTGGTAGAGGACCTGCAACTTCCCTTATATAGCAGCAGGTACAACGTTTTGTTTTCTTAAAAATTCCCAATCACTTCAAAAGCAGAACAAATCTAAAAAAAATTCCAGACGACACGTGAATTTAATAAAATCGGGAAAAAAATTCTTTAATACTCGCAACAGCAATCAACCACAACTGGAATTCTAAAAGCTCCCTAAAGGGAAATCCGACTACCATTTAGTAAGTGTGATGTGGTGTGAAACGGAAGCAAAACCGACAAGAAGACTGAACGAAATGTAAAAAAAAATCATCATTATTATGCTGATTCCGCTTTGGCATTCTTAAAATGAATTTACAATTTTTTTTCCTCTTCTTTGCTCTCTTTTGCTAGATTTGTTATTTAATGTATTGGCATCTGTTTCAGCATTAAGAAAATATATTTATTGAGTGATATAAATTCGAGAATCTTTTTTTCTGTTTTCCAATCATTAGACGTCATTCTGAGTAGCTTCGTTGTAAATTATTTCGGTCTATCTAATATGCATATCATATCATTATCATCAATGTTCGTGCATAATCTCTCGAGATTTTTGGAGACAGCTGAGACAAAGATTATTGAAAAGGCTCGTATCATTTGCTTTTATTGTCATTGATGCGGGGAAATGATTCCCACAGCATCTCTCATGATTTTATTGTATCGAGAAATAAGAAAAACCACATTTGAATGATGACAATAAAAATTGATTGTAATACAATGAAACTTTAAGTATTGCTGATGAAATCTTACGACAAATTTGAGAGACGACTGTCTTTGATGGCACTTGGGGGTGAATATTTCAATCATTAAAGGAAATAAAAATGTTTTTGAGGACTAAAGTTTTGAAAATTTTTCTTCTTATTAGTCCTTGAAAATGCTTTCGGCAATCTGTCTCGTTATTGTGGTTAGAATGAGCAACTTCGTCAGCTCGTTTTATATTTGAGGCAAATTTAATCCACAATTCAGTTCCATACCCTCAAAAAAAATATACAACATTCAAGTTTTCACCG